CTCTGGCAGGGACTCTGGCTACTCCAGCTGCACCAGCACCAGCTCCTCCAAGACCGTGGTTGTGAAGAAAATTGAGACTAGAGATGGCAAACTGGTGTCTGAGTCATCTGCCCAAGTAAAAGGCTAGGCTACTGGGGTCCTTCCTGGCTTCCGACCTTGTGGGAAAGGAGCTGAGCAAGGAAGGGTTGGGCGCAGGAGGTGCCCCAGTCCTAGGCCCACCCTTGAGGGAGGTGTCTACTGCCTGGGGGACCGCCTCTTACCCATGCTCCCAACTAAAAGCCAAGTCAAGTGGTTTTTTCCAAAATAAAGTCTCAGCTGGGTATGCCAACCCTAAAAAAAAAAAAAAAAAAAAAATTGAGATGAAATTCACATAACATAAAATTAAATATTTTGAAGTGAGCAATTCAGTGGCATTTAATACATTCACAGTATTGTGCAGCCACTACCTCTATCTAGCTCTAAAACATTTTCATCACGCCTAAATAAAACCCTGAAATCAAGTTACTCCCCACTCCCCCAGCCCTTGGCAATCATCGGTCTGGCTTCTGTCTCTCTGGATTTACTCATTCTGAACATTTCAGATCAATGCAGTCACACACTATGTGACCTATTGTGTCCGGTTTCCTTCACTGAGAATAACATATAAAAATCACATTTATTGGGGTGACATTGGTTAATACGCATAACATTGTTGAGGTTCATCAGAGTTGTAGCATGTATCAGAGCGTCCTTCCTTTTTTAGGACTAAATAATAGTTCATCGTGTGGTTGGATCACCGTTTGCTCATCCATTCACCTTTTAAAACATACACACATCTGCTCTGTTTGAGCCAGGAGCGGGGGCACGTCCAGTTTTCCCCTGCGAGGAACCCCCACACTCTCCTGAGCTGAGTAAAATACCTGGTCTCTGGGAAGCCTTTTGATGAAATGCTAATTTGTTTCCCTGGAGGGATCATGCCTTGTGCTAAGGGGCTTCTATAGAAGCTTTCATTTGAATCAAAGGCTCTGCCACTACCAAAAAAAAAAAAAAAGGAAAAAAAAACTGGCTGCATTCATGCAAGACTGGCTGACTGGTAATAACGAGGAATCCTGGGAGGCGGGGGCGGCCACCTTTGGCTCCCGCCCATCAGAGGCCGCAGGGCCTCCTCCGGCTGTGGGCAGCTCTGCCTATCAGCAATGCCGACAAGCCTGCTGCTACTTTTATGACTTCTCTTGTTGAAACTCAGGCCACGCCTCGGTAAGTACACTCTGCATACTCCACACCATAAACAGGTGCCAGACTGCTGGCGTCATCGCAGCTCCACCAGTTGTCTTTGTCTTACCACGTTATTTACTTATAGATGTGGAATTTTCCCAGGTGCAATCGCAAGCCCTGTGAGAATTTTACTCCTTTCTAGAAAGAAAGGTTTGTCCCTCTGCTCCGCTGTGCCCTGCTCCCCTGCAGGACAGTCCTGCTCCCACAGGTGCAGCCTATAAGCTCACAGGGCCAGTCTTAGTTTTGGTGAGCCTTTTCTGAAAGGAGCCCGCTAAAGGAACAACGGAGAAAGTCCTCTTTGTGAACGTGCAGTGGGCTGGGAAATGCTGATGGCACGCACAGTGGTGTAATCACGGCGGCTGTGCATGGCCACTGCCCAGGTATGAAGGCCAGCTGGTTTATGTCAGTCTCGGGGGTGGAGACTTTGCCCAGCTGGCAGAGGTGGGTCAGTGCCTCAGCTTAGACCTCACCTGCTTCTGAATGGAGGAAGAGAAGGTCCAATTGCTGAAAAGCAGACTTTCCGTGGGCCGCAGCCTCCAAACTCACAGACCTTCCTGAAGGTAAGTAGCTGGCAGAGCTGCCCTCACCTCGCCTCTTGGTGTCAGAACAGCTGGAGGGATGGCAGTTTTGGAGGTCACCAGGAGCACCCCAGACACAGCCTGGCCTTCCCTCTGCGGCTCTGAAGCTTACACTGAACCAGAAGTGGTTTGATCATTCTCTTTAGTCTATTGACCAATTTAAAAAGCTAGTTCAGATGTTCTGATTTTCAATTAAATTATTGAAGTTTAATTTGGTGAATGAGCTTCAAAACTTAATAATACATTGAACCATCTGAAATTCCAGCTGTGTGTGGTTTAGCCCGGTTGGTACCAGGAAGGTATGGTAATTCGTACGGCATGATGACTGTAACATTCAACATTGTTTTCTCACGGGCATCATTTTCCAGATGAGCACAATGAAGATTTTTACATTCTATCAGTGGGCATGTAATTGTTTTAGTCCATCTGATAAACAGCAAATGGCAAGTAAGGATTCAGAAATTGTATCCTTTTGATTAAAGGGTTAGCAGTGAGAGAATTGATCACTACAGTGATGTCCCTTGCAATTTTCTCAGTTTGGGAGCATTTTAAGGGGGCTCACTCAAAATACTTATATTTTATTTTCCAGTGACATGGTATCTATTCAGTTCATGTTGGTTGAACGGATAAGCAAATCAATGGACAAATTTTAGTTTTTGTAAGTCAAGCACTGAAGTTTTCTGAGGAAATGCTATGATGACAGCCATACTGCCAAGGAAGAAATCTTGAATTAGAAGGCAGGAGAGTTTGATTTCAACTCTGGCCTCCCCAAACTGGGTCCTGGGCCAACCCCTTGCCTTCTCCAGCCTGCTTCTCCACCGGATTAGACTGGTAATCTCTTAGGTCTAAAAGTCTATGATTTTTAAAGTTTTCTGTGACTTAGTTTCTCCACCTAGAAAATGTACAGGCAGTAGTCCCTGCCTCCCTCATGTTATGGGCTTGCGTGGAAGTCAGTTGGATGATGTCCGCAGATGTCCTGTTTCTCCATGAGCTGAGTAGGAAGCCTCCTAATTATGTTGATTAGTAAACATTGTCACTAAATGAGCCCGATGAAATGGTGCTAGTTGTCCCCAGCAGCACGCTGCTTTACATGACAACTTATTCCTTGTCTGGCCCCAACTACCCATTTTCCTCAGCAAGAAAACCACCCTGCCTTCATAAAAATATGTGCAGAAGTGAAACTGATTTGATGAAACAAGTGTTTAGAGTGAAAAACTATAAAAACCATATGTTGTTTAAGAGAAGTGGATTTCACGCCTCCTAATGTCGGACCCCGCTCTGCTGTCACCGGCAGTGGGAAACCAGCCACACTCGGGGTTTCCGGACGGCACACAATTAGAAACAGAAAGCTCCCCGACAGCGCCACTCCTCACGCTCTCTGGCAAATGGGCCCCCTTGTCACTTCGTTTGTGTAGATATGTATGTATGTAAATGTGTACATTGGCATTAACTCAGAGACTCGGTAACAAACTCGTTTTTCAGAAGTGTCTGCCAACCCCGGGGTGGGGAATAGAAACACCAGCCCCTAACTGGGAAAGAAGTCTGGGTGGCACATCGCAAAAGAAAACTCTTCAGAAACAATTTTCCATGATGTGACTGCAGAGATAAACATTTCCCATCGTCTAGCTTTTGAGTTTGGGGGAGACGAGCAGACAGGCAAAGCCTCAGATCTTCTTCAATTTCACAGATGTGAATGCCCTCTGTTTCTTCCAGTTGCCTCTGATAAAGCCCCGAGGGACGCTGGACACCCTGAGTCGCCATGGGCAACGAGAACAGCACCTCAGACAACCAGGTGGGTGCCAGGGAGCTGCTCCCTCAGCCTACACAGCAATCTCGACAGGCCTTGGCTAGACTTTTCCTGTCAGCAACTGCTTCCTTTCCCTTTCCATCATGAAGGAGGAAGCTAAAACACACATTGTGCATGCAGGCATGTAGGTATCCATTTGAGGCCTTTTTCTTTTCAGAATGTGCTTATTAAGGCTAGCCTTAATTTTATAAACTATAAAAACATTTTTATTTTTATTCTGTGCTTTTAAAATTGATACAAGGAGAGTCTGGCACATTTTCCTGGATTGTGCCTCCCTCCACCCTGCCCTCTCCCTCCCAGTCCCCCCCCCCTACTTCCCCATCAGCTTATTATACATGGATGCAGCAGAGGAGGTTAAAATAAAACCTTATCCACACTCCTCCCCCAAATTAAGTTATGGCCCTTAAAAAGCAATTTTGAAATCTATCAGCGTTGAACAGCTTCAATGTGAATTTTTGTTTCCATGTTAAGGTAAGGTTTTCACAACTGAGGAATGGACTCTAACTGCTTAATTGTGTATAAGGCTGGGATGTTAAAATATATTCAAATCTGATCATTATCCATTTTAAGTTTGAGATTTTAAGTCCATGTCCTGGGGAACAAAACCAGGGAGACACTTTTCCATTTATGTCGCACACAGTGGAAATTGTGGATTAATGGTCTTGAGTTCTTTGAATGAGAAAACGGGATGTAAAAGCCAGAATAATGCAGTTCATTTTCCCTCTGGCTTTGTCTTCCCTCCAATCTTCTTTTCTCAAGCAGGAAAACAAGAGTCATTAAAAGAAAAGATGGCAAACCCCAGTCTTTAGGGGCAGGCCAGAAGCAGTTATTTTTTCAAATGACACAATTAGGGGGAAGTGCAACAACGCCAAACAGCAGGGGTCCTGTCCTATTGTTTGAAAGAGGCAGCCAGGGGGAATGCGGGCCCTCTGTCCCAAGATCTTCCTAGTTCTTCAAGGGAAGTCAGACACCCATATTTTTTCTATGAAATCTTTAAGTTTTTATAACTAAACTTTTTATTTCTAGGTAATGGTAGATGTGCGTGCTGTTATAAGAAATCATATCTACTTTATTTATTTATTTTTCTCCCTTTACCTGGTTTCCCCCAAGGGTAACATCTTGCAAAACTGTAGCATCCCAACCTAGATACTGACATTGATAAGGTCAAGATACAAGACATTCCATCACGGGAAGGAGTCCCCTTGCTGCCCTTAGAGCCACACCCACTTTCCTCCCATCCCGCATTCCTAACCCCCAGCAACTTCCAATTTGTTCTCTATCTCTATCATTTTAACATTCTGCGAATGTTATGGAAATAGAATCACATGGTATGTGACCTTTGCGAATTGGCGCTTTTCACTCAGTTGTCATTTCTTCAGGATCCATCCAGGCTATTGCGTGTGTCAATAGTTGGTTCCTTTTTATTGCCGAGCAGCCGTCCATGGGATGGGTGTACTGTACTTCGTTGAACCATTCACTGGTCGAAGGATAGCTGGGTGGTTTCCAGTTTGGGGCTATTACAAATAAAGCTGCGATGAACATTTGTGTAAAGGGCTTTTTGTGAACATATGTTTTCATTTCTCTGAGATAAATGCCCAAGAGTGCAATTGCTGGGTCATATGGTAGTTGCATGTGGAGTTTTACAAGGAACTGCCAAACTGTTTTCTAGAATCACTGTACTATTTTGCATTCCCACCATCAATGTGTGAGTGATCCGGTTTCTCTCTGGCCACTGTTTGGTGCTGTCACTATTTGGTAGTGCCATTCTGATATGTGTTGTGATAGCTCATTGTGGTTTGAATTTGCATTTCCCTGGTAAGCGATGATGTTAACATCTTTAATGTGCTTATTGCCATCTGTATATTCTCTTTGGTGAAATATCTGTTCATGTTTTTGCCCATTTACTAACTGGATTTTTTTTTTTTTTTTACTGTTGAGTTTTGAGATTTCTTTATATAGTTTAGATACTAATCCTTTGTCAGACTGTGGTTTGCAAATATTTTCTCCCACTCTTGCTTGTCTTTTCATCCTCTTATCAGGGTCTTCTACACCACAAAAATTTTTATGAGGTACAGTTTATCAGTTTTTCCTTGTAGGGATAGTGCTTTTGCTATTCTAAAATTGCTTTAGCTATTCTAGGACCTATAGCTGTCCATATAAGTTTTACAAGAAGCTTCTCTATGTCTACAAAATTCCTTGCAGGGATTTCGATAGGAATTACATTAAACCGATAGATCAATTTGGGGAGAATTGACATCTTGATTATGTTGAGTCTTCCAGTCCATAAACACATAGTGTGCCTCTCCATTATTTAGGTATCCTTTGATTACTTCCATCATCATTTCATAATTTCCAGCATATAGATCCTGCATTTGTTTTAAGTTTATGCACCTCAGTTTTTCTTTTCTCTGCAGTGATTGTAAATGGTATGATGTTTTTAATTTTGGTTTCCACATGTTCATTGTTAGTGTTTTGATTTTTGTATGTCGATGTTGTATCCTATGACCTTGCTGAACTCACTTGTTAGTTCCAAACATTTTTTTTTTTTTCTTACAGAGTCCTTGGGATTTTCTATGTAGACAATCATGGTATTTGCAAATAGGGAGAGCTGTAGTTCTTCTTTTCGATTCTGTATGCCTTTTGTTTCTTTTTCTTGCCTAATTACAGTGGCTAGCAATTCCAATACTATGTCAATTAAAGATAGTCAGAGTGGACATCCTTGCCTTGTTCTCAGTCTTGGAGAGAAAGCATTCAGTCTGTCACTATGAGTCCCAGACTCATAGGATACACTCATAAGGTGTTAACACTAGGTTTTTTGTTTGTTTGTTTGTTTTTAATTCTCTTTATCAAGTTAAGGAAGTTCCCCCCTATTCCTGGTTTGCTGAGGAGTTTTATCATGAATGGATACTGGATTTTTTCAAATGCTTTTTATATATCAATTGATGTAATCATGTGATCTTTCTTCTTCAGACTATTGATATGTTAGATTACACTGATTAATTTCTGAATGTTGAACCAGCCTTGCATACCTGGAGTAAATCCCACTTGGTTGTGGTGCATAGCTATTGTTAAACGTTTTTAGACTTGATTTGCTAACATTTTGTTGAGCATTTTTGTGCTTAAATTCATGAGAAGCATTGCTCTGTAGTTTTCTTTTTTTGTCTGGTTTTGGCAACAGGGGGATCCTAGTCTCTTAAAATGAGTTGGGAAATGCTCTCCCCTCTTCCAATTTCCAGAAGAGATTGTGTTAAGAAATTTTACAATTTTTAAAATGTTGGCAACTAATTTAAATTATTTTTAAATACTCTGTGGGCAAAAAGAATGTTCCTCTTGGCTGGGGCGGCTCATGTCCTGCTCTTTGTAATCTCTACTTAAAGGAATGTTGTATCTTGTGTTTTAGAGTGGAGAAGGGCATAGTCAGGGGTCAAGTGCCTTCCATGTACAGATATAGTACAGTGCACTGGCCTTTATTCCTGCTCATTAACAAACCAAGGAGCTCAAGTTCAGCACCTTCCCTAAGGTCTTACAGACCTGTTTGGGCCCCAAACCCTCTGCAGGCCCCATTGGCTACAAACAGAATAGAGCACCGATTCTCACTGGAGGTGATTTTGCCCTTGGGAACATTTGGCGATGTCTGAAGACATTTTTGGTGTCATAGCTCCAGAGTGGAGATGTTATTGGTACCTTGTTGGTAGACATCAGGGATGCTGCTGGATATTCTCACTGCACAGGTCAGCCCCGCAACAAAGAATTATCCATCCCAAAGTGTCAAAGGTGCTGAGGTTGAAAAACTCCAGAATGAAGGAACATTTACCTTACCTGCTTTAGGAGAACTCTTAGGGGCTGGGTTGATCTTCTCTAACCTAAGATGAATTTCTACCTGAGCACAGACAAAGTATAAAGTAGCTTACATTTTCCTCGCCATTATCTTTACTAAACGACAATGTCCAGAACTGAAGGCTGGTTTATTTAGGATAGACTCATAGAAATGGAACTGCTGCATCAAAGGAAGGGCAAGCATTTCTGAAAGGCTCTGCCTTATCTATCTCTATCTCTATATACAAAATGCTTTTCAAAAGAATGCTGCTGATTTGTACATATTTCATCAGGGTACGAAAGCCCACCTCACTGCATCCTTGCAAGCAGTGAATATTTTAGTGTTTGAGATCTTTGCTGATTAGAAAGGTAGAAATACTTGTAGGTTTAAAAACTTCTCACCTATCCCTCCACTTCTCACCTCCTGCCATCTCCCAACTCCATTCTGCATCCTCTGTCCCTGCCCTTCTAGAACAGACAGGAGATGTTTCCCTGGCACTGCAAGTTTTCACATCCCCAACTTCAGCCAGACATGACTCAATGGGCATTATGGGGTTGCCTTTAGGGTTCCAGGATCAGAACTAGGATTGCCTTCCATGGGGAAACTTGGACTCAGGGCTCCCCCACGGGGCTAGGGCTCCAGAACCATCTTTCTCCTGCCTCCTGCATGTCTACCTGGATGGTCCACAGTCACCTCAAGTTCCTCCTGTGTGCCCTCTCCTGGGTACCATGATCTACCCTATCACCCAAGACAGAAACCTAGGGGTCACCTCTGACTCCACCCACTCCCATTCCCTGCATTTGACAAACACTATATGATTGAATAATCCACAGATTCATTAATGGCCTGGCCATTTAGCCTTCTGAGTTTCTGTTTAATTAGGACTTTTTTTTTTTTGGTTGAGAGAGGCGGAAGCCCATCTCCAATGACCATAAGCAGAAGAGGCTTGCTTGGCTGATAGAACTGGGAAGTCCACAGAGAAGGTCAAGCCGTGATCATCCCTGAATCCAGAGGTTCAAAAGATGACGCTGGAGGTCACTCCTCTTTAGAGCTTGCTGTGCTCTCCTTCATAATGCCTTAGTGCTCAGTGCTCAGGGAGGTGTCCTGACCCCCCAGGCAGCGCCAGGTTTCCATGCTTCTTCCAGCTGATGGTCCAGCCCCCGCTAAG